GCAGCTGAGACACCTGCAGGACCGCACAGAAGAGGAGGAAGTACAGGCCGACCAGGTGGCCCGAGAAGGTGAGGCCCACCTTCAAGTTTGCTCCTGCACAGACTACAAGCAAGAAGAGGTGCCCTCTGGCCGCCAGGAGCAGAAGTTGACCTGCTCAGGGGAAGACGTCGACCTAAAGCTGCCTGTCAGCCAAAGTCAGCCGGCAAGTTAAGGCAGACGGCCGAGAGAAAGAAGACTCGAGAGAAAAGCCAGATGACAGAAGAGTCAGACAGTTTTCTGAGCACGGCGACATGTCTGATAAATAACAGACACCACTGAGGGCCTGGCCTGGGACTGGAAACCATCCTTAAAAGTCAAGTGAAAACTCCAGAACTGAAAAGTAAAATAACTGCAATTGAAAACTCAACATAGGGATTGAACAAGAACATGGGCAGGAAGGAGAGTAACAGACGCACACGCTACTTGGCGGCGGGGTGGGGGCGGGCTGCGGGCAGGGCCGCTCCCTGCCACGGCTGTGGCCTGGGCAGGGGTCCCACCCGCAGACGGGAATGAGAGCACCATCTGCTCGGCTCCCGCTCTGACAGCGCCCGCACCACCTCGGCTGTGGAGCCCGCGTCTGCCCTCAGCCCAGTGCCAGCAGACCCAACCCAGCTACGCCAGTCACATTCATGCCATCCTGCCTGTCTGAAAACCTCCCCTCTCCCCAGAGCACCCCCCACCCACCTCCCATGGAAGCTCCTCGCCCTTCAGGTCCCATCCCTTTATGGTCCAGTTCCTTGGCCACTGGGGAGCAGTGGACATGGATGGAGTCCTGTCGACTGTGGCACAAATTCACTCGCTGCTTCCCAGCTACAAAGGTTGCCATCTGTTGGCTGACACAGGATAACAGCAGCTTTCAATGACTGCTTGTTTGTGCCAGGCATGTAATTTTAGTGGAAGCTGTGGAATTTGGAAATTACTACTGCAATGGCTGGAAAACCAAATGAGGTATTCCAGGAAGTACAGCAGCTTCTGGGCAGATGCATTCATTCACTCCTCACTCATGCCCAGGCACCGGCACCGGCCTCCAGAAGGGCGCGGCGACCAGGGAGAGCTGCACGCGGGTGAATGACAGGTGCTGGGGTCAGCAGGGACACTGAAGGGGCCAGAAATGGCAGGGACCACATAAGGGAGACCACAGAGCTCAGGAACCATCTGTGTCACCTGCAGTTCCAGGGCCCTGAACTTACCTGACTGGGAAACTGGTGCCAGTCAACAGGCTCACAACACCGCCTCTCGCCCCCATCCCACTTCACTTGCCCCACAATCCAGACACCATCACAGGTTGCTCAGGAAGGAGCCACGTTATTTTGGAATGTTTCTGGGGAATTCATCTCTCTCTCTCTCTCTCTCTCTCTCTCTCTGTGTGTGTCTCTCTCTTGCACCCCACCGCCGCCCCTCTCGTCCTTGCTCACATCCTCAGAGAAAAGGCAGTTTTAGAGCACTGACAAAATCTCAAGTAAATGTGAAAGAAGCAGAGCCTCTGCCCAAGGACCAGGAATCAGCCATGACACCTGGCAGGAATGGGATCCAGAGGCCCCCACACGGGACTGGCTCTACACCTGAAAGCCGATGATACGGAGGGTGCATACATCAGGGCTCATTCTCAGATCAGCGCAGAGCCCCACACAGCCTGTGCACCTCCAGACGACTTCTTCCAAGGAACCCTGTGCCTGCCAGTGGGAAGGGAGACATGTCAAGCCCCTACGGAGGTTTCTCAAGCTATTAAAAATGAACCTACCAACAACTCCACTCCTGAATGCCCACCCAAAGAGCACAGCAGCACCAACCTGAAGGGGCACATGCGCGCCTGTACCCACTGCAGCTCCATCTAATGCCAAGCTGAGGAAACAGCATAGTGCCAAAGATGGGGTGTGCGTTAGAAAAATGTGCCTTAGGGGCCTCCCCAGTGGCGCAGCGGTTGAGCACTGGGTTGCAAAGCTACCCGCAGCCTCTGCAGCGCCGGTTCGACCCCCGGCTGCTCCCCGGCCACCGGAGGAGGGTCCCACATGGCGCGCAGACCTCTTCTGCCGCCCACTGCTCCCCTCAGCAGTGTACTTCGGTCCTTCTGCCTGCTCTGCTCCCCGCTCTGGGTCTGGTGAATTCTTTCACCCTCCCACGCTTCTGACTGTACCCAGTGCTTGTATAAATAAATTTTTTAAAATAAATAAACAAATAAATAAAAGTTTAAAAAAAAGAAAAATGTGCCTTATACGCACATCGGACTACTACTCAGCATCCAAAAAGATACACTCATGCCATTCGCAACAACGTGGAGGGAGCTGGAGTGGGTTACACTAAGCGAAATCAGTCAGAAGGCAACAGACAAATACAGATGGTGTCACTTCCATGTGGACTATGGAGAAACAGAACGAAGGTCAGACAGCGCAAACCAGTGACAAACGCGACAAATCTGACTGCTGGACTGAGGCTACCGGAGGGGATGGGGTGGGGAAGGGGAAAGAACAAGTAGGGAGGGAGCACAGTGGACTATGGGGGTGCACTATGGATGTCTTGGTGCTGGGTGTGGTAACAGCACCTTAAGGGAAAGACCCTGTACCTCTAAATCATAAACAACATCGTAGGTACCTCAATTTTACAAAAGCTTTTTGTTCCCATAACATCTTTTATTGAAATGGAATTTCCACATAGTTGACACTTTCAAAGCGCACAGTTTGGTGTTTTCATCACATTCACAGGCTCCTGCGACCATCAGCCCCATCTAATGCTACAACATCCTGTCGCCTGCCTGCCAAAGGCCCCCCGACCTTAGCAGTCATTGCACCTCCCTGGGAAGTTGGAATCCACCTTCCATCCTCCTGGGCCTGCCCGTTGAGGCATTTCAGAGGAATGGCCTCTGGTGTCTGCCTTTTTTCACGCAGGTGATTTTTCAAGGCTCATCCGTGGGTGTCGGTACTTCGCTTATTTTACAAGTCTGTTCAAAGTTCTGCTCCAGTGGAATTCTAGTTCTAGAATTTGCACTCTAAACAAATCAGAAATGCACAAGAGGGCCTACACATACATGTACATGGCAATGTTACTCAGACGGGAAGAGGAAGGGCCCTCACCAGGCCTGGTGAGACACGCACTTGTCTAATTGGTGGGCTGCTACTAAACGTGACAGTGTTTATGGAGTAAGTGGGAAAATAAATTACAAAAATGGACTAAGAAAGAAAAAAAAGCTTAAATGAGCAAAAAGCCAACTGAGACCAAAGCCTTACTTTCCCTGAAAAGTCTTCATGAAAAATAACTTAAATTCTGGGCCTCCCCGGTGGCGCAGCGGTTGAGCGCTGGGTTGCGAAGCTGCCCGCAGCCTCTGCAGCGCCAGTTCGATCCCCGGCTGCTCCCCGGCCACCGGCGGAGGGTCCCACATGGCGCGCGGACCTCTCCTGCCACCCGCTGCTCCCCTCAGCAGTATACTTCGGTCCTTCTGCCTGCTCTGCTCCCCGCTCTGGCTCTGGTGAATTCTCTCACCCTCCCGCGCTTCTGACTGTACCCAGTGCTTGTATAAATAAATAAATTAATTTAAAAAAAAAAGAAAAAATTACTTAAATTCTTTCAAACTGTCAAGAAACAGTTTTAAAGATCAACAAAGTGGTCCAGAACACATAAAATCTGGAAAGTGACCAGCTTTTATGGGGTTAGTTTAATTGTAAATTAAAACATAACAAAGGTTTCCTTCTACCCCAAAGGGAAACACACATGGAGGGGGAAATTCTAGATCAAAACTAAGGCTGCAAAATTCAACATTACCAAAGACAGGTCATCATTAGGAAATGCATAAGTAACCAAAACCAAACTGATGATCCAAATTAATGCTCAAAACATTCCAATGAAATTCAACACCCATTCCTAACACTCTAAAAGGCACAAATCAAAGAATAATCCATTTACGTGGTCTTAAATGTCTCTACACAGCCCAATAAGTAAATAATAAAATTAATGGAGGAAAAAATAAAAACATTCCAAGTAAAACGAAGAAAAAGACAAATCAGGAGAGTCTGACTAATTCAATAAACCACGAAGCAAAACCAAGGGTAGTTAGTAACATCAAAACAAAATAAGGAGAAGTTTAATGGAGGAAGGAAAATCCCATTCCCGAAAACCCATGATTAAATAAGATAAAGCAAAACCTGAGACCATCACAGACACACGATGGCCGACCCTAAGCACGGAGATGACGACACGCTGACTGCTACAAAAGAACACTGAAAAGAGAGAGAGCATCCTCTCCTTCCAGATGGTAAAGCTGAAGAATGTAATGAACTATCTTAAAAGATCCAGAGCTACTGGAGCCGTGGCCTGGATAGGCGGGCTCCGGAGCCAGAGCTGCAGGGGTGCAGGGAACGTCGTGCAGCCATGACAACACCACAGGCAGAGGCTGGGCGCGTGCCTACACACAGCCTCTGTCAGAGCGACCGCCACGACCCCACGGTGTGCGTGGGTGAAGACACAGGTGCTTAGAAATAAAGGGAGCTGCCGGGCGGTGAGCTCGTGTGACTTTCATGTGTTCAAAACTTCTGCAAAAAGTTCTATGTAGCTTTTAGGAGTTGGATGGGGGAAGGGAGCACATAAAAGTAAAAAAAAAAAAAGACAGTCCTCATTTTGAGGTGGCTGAAGTACGATTGCTTTAGTTTTAATTGCTGCAACAAATTTTCTGTATCTTCCAATTTTTTTTTACAATAATCATGAAAAACAAACTTGTGCAAAACCATTAGAGAAATGTAAGCTACAAATTCAGAAATTCACTTGGACTCCCTTGTTCTTGGGCTTACATGTGCCATGTTCTCAATTACTCTCCAACCACTGTATTTTTTTAGGCATTAAATTGAAAATCTACTAGGACTCTTTCCTGCCAGAGAGAAAAGGATGAAAAAGTCAAAACCACTCACACACATTTGCTGAAATTAAAAAGCAGAGCCGAATGTGAAGAATCCAGAAAGGTGTGGTTGGAATCTTACCGTAAAGCTGTTGTTGACGTTTTTGGTGCTGGATTCAGCCACGCTGGCGTCTGTCAGGTCCACCTCATCAAATATAATGGACTGCAGAGAGACGGGGACTGGTCAGTGGGGGCCAGAGCCCACCTCAGTCTGTCCCCCACCCCCAAGCAGCTACTGACACCGGGTGAGCCTACCCCACCTGCTCGAGCCACAAGCACAGCTCCGTGACCATGTTCCAGCGGAGCCCGCACTGAGACAAGGTAGAATCGCCGGGGAGCTGCAGCCACCGTGGGCGCTGCTCAGCTGCACTTGTCAACGTGAAGGATGCCCTCCCACAGAGACCACCTGAGTGCCGAGAACCCCGTCCTTTCAGTTTTAATTTCTACGGCAAGTACTCCTAGAGGGGAAGGTCCTGACTAAAATAAACAATTCTAGGGCAAGAGGAAAAGACCTAAATAGAAAGGATCCAACCTCAAAAGAAAACAAAGGAGAGAGCAGGAGGAATCTAGTCCTGGAGAGAGTCAGGCTCCCAAAGAAGGCTGGGAACAGGACTGGGCACCCCACCCCAGCCTCACCTCTCCCCACCACGCTCACCTCCTGTGCACCTCCAGCGCCCCCTGTGCTAAGAGGACCCACCCGATCAGGAACGGAGGGAGGAAACACTAACAGCTAAAGGAGACTGAGCCTTTGCAGCTCCTTCCCCCACCACGATGCAGAACTGAAATAACTACAGGGTTTTTAAAAATAAGGGATGTGGTCAGAACCCTTTCTTACCAAATTGCTCTGTTCAATTTCAGAGCACCGACTCTCCAGGGATACCTCACAAAATATAAATGATTCCTATTCCAAATTTTTCTCTACCAAAATATCAGTAGTGACAGTAACCCCGATGCCAGAACACAGGCGCTCAGAACCAGCGCGCTGGGGGCGCCAGTCCCGCTTGGGCAGCATGGGGCAGCCTGTCCACACGCCACGACCCAGCACATTTCAAAACACTTCCAGCTAGTTTCACGGGGCATGTTTATCTCCAAACTCACCAAGTCGTACAGGTCAAGTGCCTACAACTTTTTGCATGCCAATGACAGCTCTATAAAGTACTTTTTACAAGGCTCTTCCAGGTCATAATAAGAGATGGATAAGCCTGTGACGTTCTGGACAAGAGCCAACCACCACGTGGCTATCTGTGTGACACTTTCTACTCTCTCCTTCGGGAGCACAACAATAGAAGAGAAAGAATAAAAACTAATGTTTATAAGAAATAAAACATGCCCTGAGATCACCACCACCTGGCACCTGGAGCATCACAGGACGCGCAGGCAGCAACAGCCTGAGGGTGGGAGCACGTGGCCACGAGCCCACAGGCCTGGGGCCCCAGCGGGTGCTCGGACTTCACACACTCACCTTCGCAGTCTTGGCGTAGTACAGCGTGCGCCCCCGAAGCTTGAAGTACCTCCTCTTGGACCGCTGGAACGAGCTGTTCTGCTTGGTCAGCATGCCCTCCTTGATGATGGTCTGCAAGCACAGAAGCGGCTCGTGAGCCTGGTCTCCCCCAGGGTTCCCCATGGCCACGCCCCACACACTGACCCATGGGCAGGCCGTGCCGCTGCGCGTAGGCCCATGCAGCCCTCCAGGGGGCAAGGGCACCAGGGCCGGGGTGTGTGCAGGATCCACCCCGGTCCGCCTGGGGATCAGAGGGGGCGCTGAGGGACCACAGTGAGCAATGCGGAGCCAAGCACAGTCTCCAACTTCAGCATTTGGTATTTTTCAGCTATTCTTGGCCTCAACTCCGAGCTCTCTGGCCTCCTGCCATTTCTCAGGGTCCTGCTGCCAAAACTGCTGACCTACGTAGCTATGGGGTTCAGGCAGCTTCAGGCCTGCGCCCCACTCCCCTCACCCCACCAAGAAAAAAGCACCCAGCACAGTCACCAACTCCTCTCATCCCGGCAGCCTGGTCCATCCATCCTGGAGATGCGGACAGCCCAGAAGGGGAACAAGGCTGTTCCAGACACCTGCTGAGTCCAGGACGCCCCACAGAGCAGGGGCTCCTCGTCCACTACACACCATGAGCCACAAACACCATCAAAAGGGAAAAATCGCAGGGTGACTGGAACTGGCCCTGGGCACACAAGCACCTGGCGCACCCCACCTGACCTGCCGCCAGGTCCCGCCAAGGAGCAGAGGCAGAACTGACAAGACAGCTGTTCGGAGTCGAGAGCGGGGGCTCAGAGAAGCCTTTCTTAATTACCTAATCGCACGCGGCTCTGCTTTTAGTGACTTTGGTAAAAGTACCTTTAAGGAGTATTTAGGCATCTGTGGCCACTTAAAACATAAGATGAAACCAGACACAGTAACCTCAGGTCGTCCCAAGGCGTCAGAAGCCCGGCCCTCCATCAGCCCACTCCTGAGTGTGTGGAGGGGGTGAACACCACACAGGCCTGTCTTGCTAGAGAAACCCGCTGAAGAGGGTCCCTGACCCACCAACAGCACTGCACGGGCCAGGACCCCCATCTAAGCAGCACGACACTCAGGGTGTCCTAAGGAGGCGCAGGCAGGCTGCTCCCCAGCTTATCCCCATCACAGGACATCCTCGGCAGGGTCGGCCACAGGCACCAGCTGGTCACACCGAACCGGGTGATCAATGCTGGCCAAGCGCTGCACACAGCAGCCTCGCCAACCCCCAAGAGAACCAGTCCAAGAGAAAAACTCCCGCGGACCCCACTCGCTCTTGGGATATGCCTTCACCTCTACATAGGAAGAGGTCGCCCACTCTCCCAGCTCGCCTGCGAGGACCAAGAGGAGAGAAGAGGCACCACACATTCCCCAGCAGCCCGGGGGCAAGGCGGCTGGACAACAGGCAGGTCCGAGGCCTCGCCCTGCACTAAAAAAGGCTCCAGCTTTTCTCAAGAGCAGGCTGGGGGCCCGCCCGGAGCGAGGCCGCTCCCAGGCAGAAGGGGTACCCCGGGCTGACCCGACCGCTACAGATACAGCCTTTCCGCAACCTGCAGGACTGCCAGGCCGCCTCCAGACGCCAGGCCAGGAGCGCAGGGGGCTCGCACGTGGAGCCAGGAGCTGCCCTGCTCTGGGGAGAGCCTCTCCTCTGACCTCACAGGGCCTCGGGGTGAAGGCACCCTCCTCGCCCCCATGCTTCCTTACCTCGGCAGGGGCAGTGCTGGCTTCCATCTCTTTCCTAAATGCAAACTAAGAAAAAAAAAAAAAGACAACAAAGCCAGACCCAGAGACGTTATTAAAAGTTACTTTTAAAGGATAAATGACAAAGTATTTTTCCTTGAATCTCCTGCTAAACATCTCACACATGAAAGGAAAGTAAAATAAAACACCATCTACTCCACGGCGCGCACACATTTTTCAGAAGCGGATGAGAGCGGTGAGCTCGGGCTACCCACGGAGAGCTGCGCTTCTATTTATAGCACAAGAGAGGCAGAAAAAGACTGGTGGGTCTCGGCGGAAAGGGCTGGGGAAGAGATAAAGACCAGCGCGTCTTTGAAGCTTTCTCCGAAACAGCGTTCTCCCGACGCGTGGCTCATGAGTACGCAAACATGCTACAGGGTATTTTTAAACACTCAGTCCAAAGCAATGGACTGAAAGTGGCCGAGAAAACAACCCCCCGAACAGGCTGCTGTTCTGCATCTGGCAGCCGGGGCCACAGGCACCCACAGGAAACGGCCTGGCCAGCAGGCCCCCCACAGCCAGGGAGCGAGCACCAGGAGCCACACCCAGGGAGCGAGCACCCTGGACCAGGGCAGCTGGCCGGGGCAGGCTCCGGGGACCAGGCCTCTGCACCTTGGGGGCCATCGGGGACAGGAAAGGCCAGGTTGGAGATGCAAGGGCGGCAGGCAGGGAGGTGGGCGGCCCTCCCCCAGCTCCCAGGGGAGGCAGGGCCGCACAGCCCCAGGGACAAAGCCTGGCAGAGCGCTCAGCCATGGTGCCACGCCCCCCCCCCTGCACCCCCACCCCAGGGAGACCGCCCAGGCACCCGCTGCACTGAGCCAGCTGGATCAGGAGCAATGACACTAAATGGGGCGTTGGGGGGGGGCGGGGGGTGCAGAGAGAACCGGCGCCTGGTCAACAGGCGCACTCTGCCTGCAAGGGGCTGCCGCAGGGGAGCCTGCACAGGCGGGAGCTCCTTCCCTCCCAGACTCCGCTCGCACCAGATCAAATGAGCTGTCGGCGAGGGGTGAGCCCACAGAGGGCATGGGTTGGAATTTTTAACGCATGGGTCGTTCAGCTCTTGACAAAGTCACACTGCGCAGCGCACCTCACTTCCTGGCCCCGCCACCGCGGACCGCCAGGCCATGCGGGCCGTGGACCCTCCGTGGGTGCCAGGCCTCGCCGGGCAGCCCGCTCACTCCCGCCATCAGCCATGCTGTGAGGACCCTGCGCACGTCCTGGAGCAAGGGGCAGCAGTGAACTTGGGGATCACAGGGAGCTAGCAAGGGACCAGGCAGCAACGGGGCTGGGCCAGCCGCTGCCGAAGGGGCCCTCGCCTCACGCCGCAGGCAGGGCAGCCCCAGGGGCCAGCAGAGGGAAGGCGACACCTGGAAACCAGCAGACGACACAGAAGTTCGTTACGATCGGGAAAGGTTTCTTGAATGGGATTCAAAAATACTTAGCACAGACTCTAAAAGTGCCAGAGCCAACTATATTGCAAACGGGAACTTGTGCCCTCCGAAGACAGTTTACTGAGGAAGAGAAATGCCGGGGGCTGGGAGGAGACACGTGCACCATGCCGAGCGCAAGGCCACACACACAACACGGTAACAAAGACAAAGAAACCCCAAAAGGAAAACTGGCAACAGGCACGGTTGGGAGTTGGTCAGCAGCGTGGGGAACGAGCCGCTGACCCCGGGAACACCGGGCTGGGCAGAGAGCAGCCCGAGGGACACCGCAGTGCCGAGACGGGCTCACACAGGGGCAGCCGCCGCTCAGGCTGACACGTGTCGTTCGGCAGGTAAAGAGATGTGGGGAAATAATGTCACCCGTCCTCAGACAGACGTCAAATCCCAGGGAGAGCTGCACGGAGGCTGTTGTGCCCAGTGCAGGTTTGAGGGCCTGGCCCCTGCAGGGCTCAGGGGCCGAGTGAGGAAAGAGCCAAGCCCAGCGAAAAGCTCACTTCTCAGCCATCTGTCCTAAAACCTTTTCAGGCCTCAACAAAAAAATTACATAAGCCTGGGGCAGGCGACAGCACCCGAGCCCAGAGTCAGAACAAGCGGGGGGAGTTAACAGAACACTGTGACCCGGGAGAGCATGGACTGTTCAGGGGGAGACGCCAGTAGAACTCACCACCATAGGTTTGCATGTCACTTGAACTTTTCGGGGGCATTTTTACACCTATTTGCCTTCTTAACAGAACAAACACTCATGGGCTGTGAGACAGACGCTAATTCACCAAATGACAAATGAGAGGCCGGTCTTGAGAGCCCGGGCCAGGCACCCAAGGCAAGAGAGTTAACAACAGGCCACGAGAGAAATGCCAGGCCTCTGCTCTCCAGCCTTCTCCCAGGGCTCGGTTTATGAATACTATAGTTCAAAAACAGGAAGCAATCAAACACTCATTTGTTCACAAAACACAGAGCGGACAACACGCCCTGGACCTTCAGCCCCTTAAAGCGCCTCTGAGCATGAGAGCAGCCACCAGGCACACAGGGGCCATTTTCGCCTCAGAGCCCACCCCAGTTCAAGGCAGGTAGTAATGGCCACGTTAGAGATCAGGGAACTAAGGGCCAAATTAAGTCACTCACTCAAGGCCACACAGCTAGGAATGGGAGAGAAGGAATTCAAAGTTCAGACCCAGAACCGGGCCAAAACTATTTGTTGACAAAATGAAACCAAAATGAAAAGCTACTCTTAACCATGATTTAACCCAGTTAGGCAAAGGTAAGTTCCTTGATACATTCAGAACACCACCCACAAGTTCACCCTGACTCAATCACCTGCAATTATCCAGGTGCCAATGGCTACTGGGTCTGACGTGCAGAGCGGGCACAAGGCACAACTGGAGACGCCTCTCAAGCCTGCAGGGCCAGGGTAGGCCCAGCATCTGGTCCTGCCAGCGTGACAGAGTTCCCCACACCCACAAAGATCCCCAAAGACACCAAATCACAGAAAAAGGACAACCACCGTTTCCTTACCAATAGAGAAAACTCAACTTCCCCGGTCCCACCACCCTGGGGGGCCCTCCTTCAATGCACTATCTGTGAAATTAAAAGCTACCAGGTCCCAGGGCCCCCAAGTCATTAAAGGTTCCACTGACAGAAAGGGAGGCACCTCACTGCTGTCCCCACTAATACAAGGAAGGACTGACCAGGAAAGCCAAAAGTGGTGCCACAGTGCAATGACCAAATCCCCCAAAAGAGCTGGAGCTCATACCCACTCCCCCTAGGTTTGGAGCCACCTGTATTACTGGGTGTGCCTCCCCACCCACCCCCTTGGGCAAGCAGGCCAGACCCAGTGCAGCCAGTTATCACAGCCCTGCCCCCACTCAGGCCACACCATTCAGCCTCACCAGAGCCAGCAACACATGTCCTGCTGGGGCTGGGGAAGTCACTTTACTGATACATGGATGCACGAGACTTCAACTACCCCCCACTTCTTGCTGTGAATGGAGACGCACTGTCTAGAGTTGGAGCCACCACCTAAGTCCAGGAGGCAGTGAGCCAACCTGAAAGGGGCGGCAGAGGGGTAGCAATGACCTCTGCCAGCACCCTGCAGCCGCCCCGGCACCCCTGTGGCATCAAGGTGGGCTGCTGGTCAGCTCCCGAGGGGTCACTGCCAGCGGCTCTGTCCCCAGTTGAGTGTGGGTCCCAGAGGCAAGCCCTGTCCCCGAAACATGGCTCAGCCAAGGAAGTTTCCTCTCAACCTGCTCCCACCAGCTACGTCCTCGCTGGCTGACCGCGTCATCAAAGCTGACAGCAGTTTCAGGCGTACCAACTCATTCCACCTCGCTCCATTCCAACTGGTCACCAGCAGCCCCAATTTTACTTGTTAAAACAACTGAAGAGCCTGACCCGTCCTCAGCCTCTGCCAACTACTAGGTCTGGACCCCTTCAGGACTGGCTACCCTGTCTTCTGTCTCTCAAGGGTGACCCAGAAAACGTGCATCAGGGCCTTCTGGGATGCCTGTTACAAAGCAGATCACAGCTCGGGGATCCTGGGACAGGAAGTTCTGACCACAACCCAGGTGGCACCCTCCTTCCCCATCCCCCACCCCTCCTCCACCTGCAGCTGGCTCCGGCTCCACTCCACTGCAGCACAACACCCTAGCAGGCTGGGGGGCACAGACAGCTGGGCCCACCCAGCAGTGCAACCAGAATCCTGGGGATTTGGGGTTCAAGTCAGTGCCCTGGCCTGCAAAGGGGTCCAGGGCACCCATGACCCTCCCCTGGCTTCCGTGGTCTCCTCCACAGCCCCCTGGGCTCTTGCACAGGCCCCTGGGCCACCCCCAGCCAGGGCCCTCTACTTCAACCCCACACAAGCACACCCTCAGGCACACCCTTCCTCTGCGTGGGCATCCTATAGCAGCTGGAAAACTTGTGCCGGAGACCCATGTCAAATGCCACCAACACGGGAGCTGCACGCACCCAGCAGAGCACTCGGCCTGGGCTCCACAAGCCCACAGTCTCGGCCCTCCCCCCACCAGGGCATCCAGGGGCTACCTGGTGGCCAGCACAGGGCATTCTGGCAAAACCTTTTACAAAACATTGTGCAGGGTCCATAACCCTAGATCCATAAAGAGCTTCTGAAAATTGAGAACCTGAGGAAAAAAAGGTTAAAAATCTGAACATTTTACCAAAAATTAAAGGGCCTCCCTCGTGGCACAAGGGGTTAAGCACAGCACTGTGAAGCAACCCACGGCTGCTGCAACACGAGTTTAATCCCGGCCAGGGAGCAACCCACATGGCGCAGCAGACCTCTCCTGACTCACCCGCTGCTCCCCTCAGCAGTGGATTTCAGTAGACCCGCCTGTTCCGGTCCCCACTCCATCTCTGGTGAATCCTCTCAACCCCTGCATCTCTGGCCTGTGCCCCAGTTCTCGTATGCATAAATAAATAAATCTTAAAAAAAAAAATTTAAGTTCATGCATGTACTGTACTGCTTTTAAATCTTTGAGCAGAAACAGTGGAAGGATGAGCCAGAATAATGAAATAATGAAGACGATGAAATGGTTCCCCAGAGGGGAGGATGGCAGGCCTCTGGGAAGACCCAGCAACCAGGGAGCCAGGCTGGCAGGCCTGAGGGCCTGCTGGAGACCACGGCCCTCCAGAAGGCGCCCAGAAACACAGGCACAGACCCCGGGCTCCACCTGGCTGTCCCAGCAGGTCACCCTCACCCACCGGGGGCCACCCCACTTCCCTTCTCGAGAAGCAGAGTCTGGAGAGGACCCGCGTCTACCGAGAAGGGACAGGTGTGGGTACAGCCCCAGGGCTGCCTGCATTCAGCTCTCTCCATACTTTCACGAACCAAAAAACAACAGGCTTGCAAAAAGGCCTTCTTGGCCGTTCTTTCTTTTTACAAGACAGATAAACTATAGTCGTAACTGTAGTCATAAACCACCCTACTTTCTGGGGGGCACACCCATCCTCACCACCACGAAGGATGAATCTGAGCCCCCCAAGCAAAAGCCACGTCTCTCACACACACACACACCTCGCACA